ATCAGTGGAAAGGGTTTTTAAAGGTTAGGAGGAAAAGATTAGATTAAAATAAGTTAGGAGAACTAGGTTGAAGGAACTCTAAGACAGTAAGCTAAGTTTCAAAGTTAGTAGTAAGAGAGAGAGAACAGTAGTGAAGGACATTTTAAAGTTTAGTGGGAAGATATGGTAGGAGTTTAGATCTGTTAGGAGCAGATGCATTGAGAAAGTATGTGTTGCTGAATGATAAGAGAAGATTGAGGGTGATTGAGTATCTATAGTTACAGTTCCCAGCAGGGAGATCAAGGTAATTATGGGTGTATTTTTTTATAATCAAAAGTTTGAAAGTCAGGGATTAGAGAGATAGGACTGAGAGTTGGGAAAAAGTGACACTAGTGGTGATAGATGGAAGTACAAGCAAAGACAACTTTTCTTTGGGGAAAAACTAGAAGTAACTAAGGACATTAACACTTCAGTCTATTATAACAACAGTGAGAAGCAATTTAACTCTTTCAACATTGATAGTTATTAAAGCCATAAATATATCGCATTTGATTATAAGGGAACCAATACAGCACCAATTTTAGGGGAAAGAATACTTATTAGGGTTAGGATGGGGACGTTTCTCCCATATGGAGAGATAATTATGGAGAATAAGTATTGTTATCAGGACCAGATGTAGAAGCGGTGTCCCCTAGTCAAAGGAGGGATAGTTTGTACAACGATATGAAGTGGAAGAGGTTAGGAGTGACTGTTCACTTATTTGGCGTAATGTTACAGAGAAAGGTCAGGGAGAATATATGTGTACTTATCTAGTGCAAGCATTAGAATTTGTTCCGGTTAAGAATTATTGGTTAAAAGGCTATGTAATTCATAAAGTAACGCTTATAATGGAAGAGTTGAGGTCTGTTGTGGCCTCCACAGTCACCAAGGGAGTTCAGGAAGAATATGTTACAGTAGTCACTCCAACAGTGAATAATACACATAGGATATCGGTAGCTTTGCCACTAGAAATAATTAAGGTTAATACATCAACTACTTTAATGGTAACTTTGGAAGGGATTAATGATACGATGGCAATAGCAAATGTAGGGAGTATGACACCGACAACAACTTTTCTGAAATTAAAGGGGTAGCAAGAAGGACTTAAAATAGGAGAACAGATAGTAGTAGAGGGAATATAGATTCATCATGGAGGTACAGGATGAGGTCTTTGATTTTAATGACAGACAAGGAGAGGTATCTGATCAGTACCGCTCGTTAGGGAAGAGAGAAACTATATGCATGTGGTTTGATTCTTCTGTTGTGAAAGTTAGAGATAGATGGCAGGTAGGAATCTTTGGTTCCAGCGGTCAGCTCATTCGGTAAGATCAGTGAGAAATCTTGAGGGTCCATGTCTGGTGAGAATTCCAGAACCAAACATGTTAGAGACGGTCGTTCGACCTCTATCAAGTATGTGTCAATCTTAGGCGTTGTCATGACTGTTGTATCAGCAGCAACAGTCAGTAACAGATAAAATAATGTCGTTGTCAAAACATTTGTTTAAGCCTAGGTTTAGGTGTTATTGGGTTAAGTGAATTAACTTGTGTGAATTTGTTAGATGGGAAGGAAACTCAGGTAACAGCGTAACTGAAGTATTGGAGGTGAAAGCAGTGAGGGCTAAAAGTTGTTTGTTCTAATAGAACATATGATATAAGGGGTATGTTTATGGGAATATCAGATTGTGATGACTATATGATAACTTTGGGTATGCATGACCTTAAGGGTAGTAATGAGAAATATGTTACTTTTTATGTACCAGGTAGTAAGAACAGCAGGACTTTGATGGTTAAAAGATTAGCTTTTGCCTGACAATGTGACTATGGGGAATTTTAGAGATATTTAGAGGGTTTGGGGTGATAAAGCATATATATTCTTACACTATGGATAGACAGGATGTTGTTACATGTCAACGTTGAAGCTTCCATATGAGGTTTCTACCATTATAAGAGGGGTAGCACCGGACACAGAAATCTGAAGCTATATTTGAAATTGGATGAAAAGAGACATGGCTACATGTCATAGTCTTCAAGCCTATCATTGAAGGATAAATCTAAGGGAGAAGGGGGGACTTTTTCCATGGTATGGTGTAACATTTGGGAAGATCATATTGATAATATTAGGTATACTTTGAGTCCAGATAGTTCCGATAATATCACGAGTGTTATATATGCATTGAAGAATATAAGGGATGCGTTTGGAAGTCAGCGAAGACTTGGTTGCAAGATCAGGTAGGCCAGTAGGGGCAGTGATGGGGTTACATTTAATGGCAGCTTTGATAGCACTGTGTGATGTTTGTAATTTGTTACTGACCTTTGAGAAAGCTATGATATTGAGATAGGTTGGAGAGTGATGCCTGGAGACAACACTCAGATGCCGGTGTTTACTGTTCCTGATCTGGATAAAAATGGACAAGTGGAACTGAATGGATAAATATCATTTTTGATTATTTGATCATTTTTCAATGTTTTCAATATTGGTGTGATTTTTAGTATGATTTTATGAATCAAGGGGGGAATGGGTTTATGTGATTCATACATCATTTATATATCATTTTTATATTCTTAGTTGATATTGATGTTTAATTTGAAAGTGTTTGTTTTGCAAAAGATACTGTTTGGTCGTTTCTTTTTCTTTCAGAAGCATTTGGGGGAACATATGGAGATTGAAATACTTAAACAAAGACAATATGAAGGGACAATATGACTGGAGGAGATGAAACAAGGAGGGTGTGGCCGATTCCATCATCAACAGTCCATTGGAAGAGGAGACTATGGGGAGATGAAGTGTAGTGGACTACATTCCAGTGTCTGCAATGAAATATAGACATGTGTAATACATAATTGTGTCATATTCTTAGGGATTCATTTTTGTAGAAGGATATTTGATGTTATTGAATACATGTGAGGATCTTAGATGTTTTTGTTTATTTCGTGAATGTTTAGGGACAGGAAATTTAGGCAGGGAGAGGTTCACTGTAGGGTCCAATGGGTTGACCAGCCTTACAATGGATATTTATTGGATAGGATTTTGTTTGCAGGGGCTTACATGTGTATTTAATTGCATCATAGGTTCAAATGCATTTACATGGTTTATGAGGTTATCTGGAGTACCGAGGTGGTTGCCTGGGGCAGAGGGACCGTGAGAGAATTTTACTGTCTTGATTGATGGATGGAAGGTTGCCGGACAGTTTTTTCGCTCTTACACTCCATAAAGATTTGTTCATATGTCATAGTAATGTATTCACACTTCATAAACAGTTGTTCATATTTCATAGAAAGGTATTTACACTCTAGAGAAGAATGTTTTTGGTTTAATGTTAAAGATACTCAATAAGATAAATTGTTACTTGTCATAATCCTATTCTGTTTGTTTTCGAGACTTTTAGTTTGTCTCGAAGGGGGGAATATGTAGTGTATTAAGATTATGTCTTTGTTAAATGTTTTTCATGAAGAAATGGAATGTTGTTTATGTTAGTATCAAAAGGGAATGTTTTAGGGTGACGCCCCAGGGGAGACTGGTGATTGGCCAGAAGAGGGAGCATCATTGTTTATAAATAGGGGGGAAAACGAAGGAGAGGGTAGAACGAGCAGCCATTCTGAGGCGTCGCTCTCCGGGTGTCATGTCACCTGTCACTTATGCTGAAGCTTGTGATCTGAATAAACTTATGATCAAGGATTCAGTATGAGCGGACTCCTTTGTTTATCAGCACTAATTGCCACCACTCACTCGATACGACAGTAGTAACTTGGTTACGATACTATTAGACCGGTCATGACAATTTGACGGAATGTGACGTCATCTATCTGCTTGTTCAGATTAGTATGAATCATGTTCTGGGATCTGCCCACTTATCCCTGGGGTTCCATTGATTGAGTGAGGCGGCCTACCGTGTACACAATGTAGAGTGACACTTTGTGTCATTCCATTAGTGGTCGGTAGTATTGTATCAGGATATTGAGGTACCATCTATCTGCTGGTACAGATTAGTATGGCTTGTATTCTGGTGATCTGCCCACTAGTCATTGGTGTTGCCATTGGACTAGGTGGGGCGGGTCTTTAACCGATGACGCAGTATATTGTGACACTTGTATGGTTACAGCGGTGGCAGTACTGCGGGAATTGGTTGCAGCCATTGCTAGGCCTGACCTTTTCATTTTGATGGGAAGTGTTGGGCTCGGCATTGAGTACATTTTGGAGCGCTACGCTCCGCCTTAAACCAATAGGAGCAGAGCTCCCCTATGGGGCGGAGCTCCACGATATAGAACGATTAGTTACCGGAGTGTAACTCCAGTTCTATGAGTGGAGCGGAGCCCCATAGGACTTAAGGCCCTGCCGACCCTCTCTAGTCTCGCTGAAGATAAATATCTCGGGAGGCTGATTGAGGGGAGGCATCCCCTCTTATAAGGACACCTGTACTCCTATTGGATGCAGGTGTGTGCATAATTTTGTCTCAGGCTGATGCTGCCTTAGGGCAGTGGGTAAACCAATAGGAGCAGAGCTCCCCTATGGGGCTCCGCTCCACTCATAGAACTGGAGTTACACTCCGGTAACTAATCGTTTAATACTATGGGACAGCAGGAGATCGAATTTGAATATTGAAACAATGTTGCAAATGTCGGAGAGACAGACAGCAAGGTTTATACAAATCTCCACTGTTGAAAACTAAATGTTAGTCTAAAATAAATGTGAGATAATGCTTTTTATAGTGGAGATCAAGTTTATAAAGTGCCTGACAGAGTTGATGAGACAGTGGATTGCGCAGTCAAATGGAACAGTGTAAATAGGCATTTTAACGTCATAGATTTAGCTGGTGGTAATTTGTGTAATAGACACCGGATGGAATGCGGTTTTAACCAATCAGCATTCAGGATTAGAACTTTTCCCGTTATATAATATAATATATCCAGTAACGTTACGTTGTCAAGGCAACAAAACCAAACGTTTGCTCCTCCTGTGTTGCATGCTAGTTGTCTTGCACAGCTCCGTTTATTCAGTACATTTCCAGAAATGGATGTATTGGGAAATTTGGAAGTCAGGTAAATTATAATGCATTGTTTTGTTCGTTTGGTTATGCGTGGTGTATCGTAGTTCACCTAAAATTATGTGTGTTCATTCAGCCACCATAGCAAATGTAGTAGGCAAAAATGCATGGGGAGCTAGCTAGCTATATAGAGCCAGCCAACAAGTAACGTCTTCAGTCACTTATGGTCTGTGGTATTCACAGTGGTTTAGCGAGATAATTAGCTAGCTAGCTAGATAAATAATGTATCTATATTTTTCATGAGGTTACCTGCCAGACAAACCATTAAAGTTACAGCTGTTATAAATTAGGCTGCCAGCTAACGTTACAGTAACTAACTAAGTTACTAAGTACACTTAGAAAAAATAGTTATTCGTCTGTCCAACAATGGTTCTTCAGTCTGTCCTCATAGGATAACAATATTTATGTTCTAGGTAGAACCCTTTTTGGTTCCAGGTAGGATCATTTTGGGTTTCATGTTCTACATTAAACCCAAAAGGTTTATATCTGGAACCAAAAAGGTTCTACCTGCCTGGAACCAAAAAGCATTCTCCTATGGGGACATCCGAATAACCCGAATAGCACCTTTTTTTCATAAGAGTGTAGGCCAGTTTAGAATGAAGCCTAGCCCCTTACTGATGAGTACCCTAACCTGTGTGTTTTGTTTCTTAGGTGGACTCAGGGTTTGACAAGCCAAAATGTTGAATTTGTTGACAAGAAAACAGCCTGCTACATTTGTGGAAATTACATAGTTTTCCTGAATATAGAGACGAAAATGAGAAGTGTGCTGCAGTGTCCTGGTCGAGGTATTGGTGCCTTCACAGCAAATGGACATTGCAGGACACTTGCATTCTCCAACCATAAACTAAATCCCTCCATATTTGTGTACAACTACCCTGAACTAATGCAGAAAAATGAACTAAAGGGTAAGTCTTTATCTGAAACATTGACATTATTAACATGATTGAAGAGTTACATTGCATTAGCTATTCAAAGACTTCCTCCAGTTAGCAATATTGCTATAGCATGTTCTCATTTACAGGAACAGCCCATATAGACTACACATCTCTGGCACTAAGTGATGCTGGTCCTTATTTGGCCTGCTGCTCATCAATACCAGACCATACCATAACAGTATGGTAACTGAAACCACTCCACTTAATATCCTCCTAACACATTCATTTCAATGACCTCTGTTTTGTACATTCACTATTTGTGGTAATACCATTATGCTTTTTTGTAGGAACTGGGAAACTGGGGATCCAATTTGTAACCAACCACAGGCTGGAAAAGACATCACCTCTTTAGTATTTAACCCAATGAACTGGCTCCAGATTTGCGCTTTGAGTGCATCGTCATCCGTTACAGTTTGGAACATTGAGAAGAGTGACAGATTTCATATAATGAAACCAAGGTAATTGAGGTTAATTGTAACTACATAAATGTTGGTGGTTATATCAATAATCACAATTGATACCTACAATAAATGTTATCCTTGTATTCAATTTAAATTGTATGGGTACATTTCATGTGTTATTAATTGATTATTAATTACATTGTTTGTCAATTTGTCAGTGTGATAGATCTCCCTGCGACTGATGGCTGTCTGGTTGAGAGGGAGATTAACCCGTCTCATGTCCCCACTGGAATACTCACCTACTTCGGACCTCAGATGCCCACCTCAGCCATCGCAGGACTTGCAGAAGAAAAGGCAGAAACTTTTGTGGTACTGTCTTCTTAACACCTCTCAACCGCAGGAACTATTTGCACATGTTTTGTCTCACTCTGTACGGAGTAGCCTATGAAGAAAAAAAAAATGTGTGCAGTTTTACTCCTCCCAATCTCGAAACAAATTCACTCCCTGTTTTCAAAGCCCAAAGAGCGCATCAAGACCAGGCTAAGCCCTAGCACCATCTGCTGGACAGCCTCATCAGAGCTCTATGTGGGCTGTCAGGAAGGCCACCTGCTGCAGGTTGACCCAGACTCTCTGGCTGTCTCTGTCCTCTTCAACCCCTCAGGTACACCCTGCTGTCTCATAGCACTCTTTACTCTGGCCCAGGGGACCTGCTGTGCACTGGATCTCACTCCAGCTGAGTATCAGTCAGACACTCATATAGATGTTCATGGGGAACAAAAAATGTACTGACATTCACCAATTTTAGAAACATTGCCAAAAAGGCTCTTAGGTCATAATCTGTTTCAATACTTGGTTAGAATAATTGTGCACTGACATATCACGTCAATGATCACAATTATATGTGTAGTGTTATATTGCATGTTCATATCAATATGATAAAATGTGTGTGCTTACTATTGTTCAGCTGCAGATGACATTCCTGGGTTCCAGCAGGGTAGCTTCCAGAGCTTAGCCCTGCACAAGGATGGACTGTTTGTGTCAGGAAAGGTAACAATCTCTGCTTCTCACATTGACTGGAGGATGGATACATGATATTCAGTAGAATGAAGTCTGGCTCTTAGAGTTCAACTTACTCAGATGCATTCCCATTTGATCTGTTAAACCACCTATTTAGAGCCAACAACAACATATTCCAAATTTATATCGATTAAAATAGGCTTTTCTATTCTACAGGAGAATGTGCTACGCTGCTTGAAAATTAAGGGGAACCAAGTGGAGGTTACACAAACTTGGACATTGGAGGAACCAGCCACAACCATAATATATTCTCCAGACTATGAAACACTGCTGTTAACTTCCAGTACAGTGAGTGCATACATTGTACTGTATTATGGATACATATATATTTCTAGGCTCTTGTTATAGTATGCTTTTGTGTTTTCCCAGGGGCGCATCTACAGGTATAAACGATCCCAGTGTGAGAAGGTGGTGAAAGTCCTGGACGTTCTCAGTGGAGACTTTGTGGCAGCAGCTTCACTGTACACCGATAATAATTTATGTGTGGTAAGAGATCATTGATGTCATGTTTAACTGATGTAAATGTTTTGTAATGGATCCTCATTCATAATAATGTTGGCGTTTCTCTCCTCGTTACAGTCAGTGAGGGACTCAGGAGAGTTGCAGCTGTGGTCTCTAGATGCTGGCTTCTGCGTCGGCTCTATATCTCTTCAAGTAAAGGTTAGTAGTCATTAAATTACAATAGTATTAGGGCAGCTATGCTAAATAATATAGTAATAAGTAGGCGTAGTCAATTGTGAATTTTGCTTGTTACAGTATTTAAGTGAAAAGTCTAATGTAAAGTTCATGGACAATAGAACAATAAAAAAAAGAACATTCAATCAACTACTATTGTGTCTAGGTGACCAGTTTGGCCTGCTGTCCGATTGCTCAATATGTTGCCGTGGGAACAGTGTCGGGGCATGTCCTGTTCATTGAGCTGACCAGGGAGCAGCAGCCCCGTCTGGTGCACAGGGTTCACCTCTACTACACTCCTGTGGACCACCTACTGCAAGTATCTCCAATGGGTTTACTGTTGTTCTTTGTGTTTTGTTTGTCCTTATTGTCAAATGTTAAAGAGCCTTTCTAAGTTATCGGTGTTCTTATAGTAATGTTGGATTTCATATTGTTTTTGGTTTACAGTTTTGATCAAGGAGGAAACTTCCTTATCACTGGTGCCTCGGATGCAAATATATATGTATTGAATGCAAGGGCTTCCAGAGTGTTTGAGGTAATCGGATACACAGGTACATTATTGCTCTACTAAAGTCCATATATGTTTCCCCTGGTATTTCTTTAACTAATTTCAACCCATTACGTTTGATTAAAGCAGTGTTGTTTTCTCCAGGTGCTAAAGGAGCCATCGTGTCCCTGTCCACCCAGTACAGCCGGGACATTAAGCAGGTCAAACTGCTGGCTCTGTGTGCTGGAGAGAAGGACATAGGCCGGGGGGAGGGCAGTCTGCTTACACTGCTCACTCTGCCTGTGCAGGAGCTCACAGGTACTGACTGGGCTGTGTGTGTGTGTGTGCATGTCCACAGAAAGAAACTGTCGTTAATCATCCTGCCTGACTTTGGATCTGTTCCATTTTAATTTCACACCTGTCTCTGTTTGATTCCTGTATTGACATGCTGGAACTGAGATGGAATGGAATGTGTGTGCTGCTGTTGGTTTGCAGGGGCAGGAGTGTGTGCAGACCTGAGAGGATGTCTGTCCAATAATGTCCTACAGAGGTGCACATATGAGGTCCCTCACGCACTCAGCTCCTCTGCCCTGGGAGCCAATAAGATCTTTGGCTACTGCCAAAAGAGGAAAACTCTCCAGAGATTCCAGCTACCTGAGGTAAGGTCCCATGCATTACCTGACTGACTTGTGTTTAAAACCCAAAACATCTTATATCTAACATCTGACCATTTGTTGATGTTGATTGGTTTGCTGTTGAGTTTTTCTTAAATTTGACACAATACCAATAACATTTGCATAAACATAACACAGTAAACGTGCCCACTGTGCCATGTCTGTCTCCCAGAGCACAGAAAGGTCCTCTGACCAGGAAGTGGTCCAGTTGACCCCAGAGAAGGAGGTGGATGGTCACCCTATGGGCCCCGCCTCCGTCCTCCTGTCGCCCCATCAGTCTTGGCTGGCCTCAGTGGGCCAAGACGGACTGCTGCGCATCCGGGAGATCTCCAGTCTGGTACGACCTTGTTTCACTTCAGGCTTTGCATGTTATATTGAACATAACATGCAGCTTTATAGAACTCATTTTAAATATACTGAAGAAAAAAACAGTATTGTATTATACATGTATTATTGTTCTTAAGAGAGTGAATCTCAAAAGAGGAAATCTGTGAGAACAAAAGATTGATGGAAACACATTATCTTTGTGTTATAACCACTCATAATGCTATTAACCTGAGTATGTTGTCATTGTCATGTACAGGACCGATATGTTCAGATGCAGTGCCACTCGTGTTGGCTGGGAGGGGTGAGGACAGTGTCCTTTACCTCAGACAGTCAGACATTGATCACTACAGGCCTGAAAGACGGCTCTATGGTCTGTACAAGACTAAGGTAAATCAAAGGGGAAAAGTCTGAATGCAATGCAGCTTTGAACACCAGAGAGCACTGTAGTTCATGTAGATGTGAAATTTGACACCAGCTGGACTTACAGTATTAACATTCAAAGATTATTAGATCATTCTAAAACATTTCACAATTTCTACTATAACAAGGATAACCTTTCTCTCATTATAATGCATTGGACTACTTTTCTTTGTATGACATTTTATTCTCTCTGTATTCCATGAAGGCTGAAAATGGCCGGTGTTGGCAAAGCGAATGCAGCGACACAGTACAGCCAGTCTATAGCCAAATACCAGGAGAGTGTGATGACATCAGAGAACCCTATTCTCAGTAGGATGGCTGACTGGGACCCAGAGGCCCTGTCCCCTCCTGGGTCAGCAGATCTACATGGAGCAGAGGTAGCCTAGGTTACCATTCATATGTTGGAACAGGTCTCTCTTGAAAAATAGATTTGATCTCAATGAGAAAAACCTGTATAAATAAAGGGGAAGTTGGGGGCATCTTAATTGCGGAGAACGGGCTGGTGGTAATGACGAGCGGAATTAGTGGAATGGTATCAAATACATCAAACACATGGTTTCCAGGTGTTTGATGCCATTCCATTTTCTCCATTCCGGCCATTATTATGAGCTGTCCTCCACTCAGCAGCCTCCTGTGATTCATATAGATTTGACATCCTCCATCTTCACTTACGTCTCACTGCGCCAGCTAAATACACCCAAGTTGACGCTATTCACACAGGGCTTGTCCTTTGCATCAGTGTAATGAAAATCATTTCAGATCAATCAAATCTTCTGTTGTCAGATATGTGACGTTTCATATTCACACATGAAATTGAGTTCATTTGTTTGTCCTCACCTCCTGTCTTTAGGCCAGTGATAAGCGACAGATAGTTGATTTGACGGAACAGGATGAGAGCTCCACCAACCTACCCTCAGCCACAGCCTCAGACTCCACCTGGCTGGACAACAAGCTGGAAGCGGTCAGTAACACTGCTGAAGAGCTTTAGTCACAAAACGTTATTGTATTCAGGGTTTACTGTGTTTTTTATCTCAAAGTCAAGTGTCAAGTCCTATTGACCTATCGTGTGAACAAAGTTTAATCCAACTGAAAGACTGGATGTGATACTTTGTACTCAGCTTCCCCCCAGTACTGATGGGGGAAACATTGATGTTGCCCTTGACAAATCCTTCTATACCTGATTCACAAAACAGCTGTGTTGCTGTTGGCACATTCTTCCTGGGTGATGGCGACATCTTAATGAACTTAATCCGTTGTAGTGTGAAAAGATCAGGCGCAGATTGGGAGCAAGGCAGATAAACATTTAGGAGATTGTAGATAACACCAAACTGATATCAAAGGTTTGGCATTCATTGTGTTGTGGGTTTGTACATTCTAGTTCACAGTTGGTAAGATAACATGAAACAGCCATAGTTGGGTACCGTTCAGCCACTGTGCCATCACCTGCTTTATTATTTGTGTGGTGATGTGTTTGATTCCATTCAAGTCCCATCATGTTGAGTATTGAAGGATTTAGTAGGGTGTAATTTGATATCTGATGTATTGTGAAATATATGATAACAGTTCTGGTGAAAGTCAGTGTTGACAGATATGCTGGCAAAACAATGTACTGTTTTTCAGGTAGTCCTGATAAATGTATCCACTGATATGCTTTGAGTATGGGGGCACTAAACAGAACACCAAATTGTCCTCAGACAATACACACATCTTGCTACTACCACTATACTGTCCACAGGTTATCAATGAGGAGATCCAGCAGTTTTCACAGACGAAGAAAAGCCTGAGGAAAAATATCAAACAGTTGCGTGACACAGTAAGCAGAGCTCTCATCCTGTTTTTAAAAACGTTTCTTTATGAATCATGCATAAGTGTAAAATTAGACACAATATAATCAAAATGCTAATGGCTAATGTGACCATGTCGTCGGCCCCAGATCCAGGCGATGATGCGTGAGAACGAGACGCTGCCTGACATGGAGAAGCTGGAACAGCAGGAGTTCAACCTGGATGTAGATGAGCAAAAGAGACTGCAGGCTGAGGGGGAGCAGGAGGTCACCAGGGTAAAACACACACACACACTCACGCACACTCACACACACATACACACACACACAGAGAGTGAGATAGTATTCTTAATGACTCCCTTTCAGGTCCGAAATGAGATTGAGTTGGAGAACCTAGCCAAGTGCTACCTGCGTGATGTCCTTAAGAGAGAATGCTGGGATTCCATGAAGGTCAAAGGGCAAGCTATCAAGGTAACTTGAGTCCACAACCAAAATGGAGATGGTTTTCAAAGGTGCAGCAACAGATATCTTTTGAGACTGTGTGTTTTGTTGGCTTTACCTTAGGCCTTCCACTCTGAACACGAGGTGAAGAACTACCCCATGAAGGAGCGGACACAGCAGGAGCTGGATGAACTTCATCGAGTGGAGAGTGTGAGGAAGATTGAACGGGCTGACAGTAATGTGAGTTCGAATGGGCTGTATGTCCCTTTAGTCACAATGCAATTGCTAGAGATTTTGCCAATTTTGCACACCTTCATTGGCAATAGCCCCAAGCAATATGTTTAGTTTATCACATGCCACTCATCCTCTGCCCAAACACCCTAGCTCCAGCAGGAGATTCTAGAGAAGAAGAGCAAGACCACGACGGAAGAAGAGGAGGAGGAGGAAGGCCGTGAGATGGAGAGTGCTTCCCTCACAGGTAGCCTCAGTGCCCAGTATGGAGGCTCAAACCCCTACCTCTACAATCAGTTCAACCTGCATATCAGAGAGCAGAAGATCAACCAGATCACTTTGCTACAGGTAAACAAACAGTTTGGCAATATGTACTAGGATTTTAATAACCAATGTATACATATTCAGCATTTAAAGGGCAATTCCACCACTTTTCAACCTCATATTCATTATCTCCAACACATACCAGTGTCTACATATGTGAAAACTGCATTTCTATGCTCTGTGGTTGAAAAGATAAGAAGAAAGGTTCTTAAAAAATCCAGGGTAGGATTAAAAGTAAAAAAAACTATGATTTTCAAGACCTGTAACAAGTTTATTTTTGACAGAGGCAGGGTATTTTCTTGCTCCCCATGTCACCATGAATCTCAGTGTTTGAAAATCATACTTTTTTGATGATGTCATCTTTTGATGTCATCAGGTATAACTTTTTTACTTGAAATAATTTTACTACAAAACATAGAAACACACCGTTTTCACATATGTAGACACTGGTATTGTGCTGGATATAATGAATATGAGGTTGAAAAGTGGTGGAATTGCCCTTTAATGATACGTATTATTATTTCGCATTTAATAACCAAATTTAGTTTAGCTAAGTATTTCACCAAATTGTTTATAACAGCCTCCTTCTCCATTTGACCTCTCACCTTCACTCACACACTAGGATGTGATCTACAAAGTGAAGACAGCCTTTAACACAGACTTTAAGGGGGTGCACAAGCAGAAGGAGCAGGAGATCAACCGAGTGAAAGATAAGAATCGACGCATCATGGAGATCATGTCAGAGCTGGACCTGAAGAGGAAGCTGTGGGAGCCCAGCCTGTCTGACAACGAGCAGCCAGAGAGGGCACTGTCTGTGGAGGACTCTGAGGTTACACTTGAAACTGTTTTTTTTGTTATTAACCTACTTTAATGGTTTGGATTTCCATCAAAACACAAGTTACTGCACATCAAATTATGACTTATGAATCCGTCTCCAGATTCAATTTGAAAAGTACCTCACCCCAGAGCAGAGAAAAAAAGAGGAGGAGAAGAGGAAAGCGGAGGAACAAAGACGGCAGGCGGCCAAGGCACTGTATCACTAGCTTCCTACCTTTCCCTCTCCCAAATCAATCTTTCCCATCTCCCACTTATTAAATGTTTACTCTTAGGGATCATTCTAACAGCCGATAAACCATTACTAACCCAAGCAAGGTCTTACTCACTAACTGATCAATTGTGAAAACTGTGAGCTGTTTTCTTAATAAAAATACAGTGTGAATTGATGTTATTCACTTGGGTCCCCATTGAAACGGACATTCTGGTTCTCCTTTTTTTCTTAGAGTGACAATATCAGAGAGAGAGCTCTGGATGAAATGATGGGTGGAGTACTCGAGCTAAAAAAAGAGGACATCTTGAGAATGGTATGGTGGTGGTCAAAATGAACAAATCTGAAATATATATATGAATTGAATATCCAATATTAATTAACATTTAATACATCTACAGTTAACATGATAAACATTTATTAAACGTGATTGTCCTGAAGAAAGGTATTTGAATTACAGATTGTAGAGAATGTGTTTGAATGTATTTTCTGACCCTGTGCTTTTCTACATGCAGGACGTGCCTCAGCCTGAGTTCATTGTATCCAAACCGGACATTCAGTGGACAGAGGAAGAGAAAAAGATCTATAAAGAGTATGAGAAGAAAGCCAAAGAACTGAGCGAGGAACAGGAGAAGTACAGAAAGGTGGGATTTTTTTGTGAAAACGTCTGCTTTTCAATGTTGTATTCAAAATAAATATACCATCATAATAGGACCCTGACTTTATATACTACACATGTTCAGTTGCCATTCTTGTTCCAGACTCTGGAAGCTGAAATGAAGAAACTACAGACGTCCATCATGGACACCACTCAGGGGTTTGATGAAACCTTGACCAAGCTCTTTGAGAGGAAGGTGAAATCTGAGATGGTTATATACCAGGTAAGACAGCACATACACACACACACAGAGATCAAGTTGGATTTAATGAAACAAATATACAGTACATTCCATATGCCATTGTTGTTTTCTTGCTATGTTGTTTTGTAGGAAGAGCTCAAGATTACCAATCTAGTTCACTCCATTCTGATAGAGGAGGAGGTTTGCAATAGAGAGAGAGAGCTCAGCCTCAAGCTAGAAAAAAAAAGGGTCTACAAGGTGAGATGTCATTATATTCATGCCAGTGGAGGCTGTTGGGAGGAGCTATAGGAGGACGGGCTCATTGTAATGGCTGGAATGGGATCAATGGAACGGAGTCAAACTTGTGGTTTCCATATGTTTGATACCGTTCCATTCAAGCCTTTACAATGAGCCCACCCTCCTATAGCTCCTCCCACCAGCCTCCTCTGATTCATGCTCTATTTGCTAAGTATCTTTCTCATGGAGAAGGGATTTACAATGGTTGGGTTCACAGGAGGTTGGTGGCACCTTAATTGGGGAGGACAGGCTTGTGGTAATGGCTGGAGCGGAGTGAGTGGAATGGTATCCAACACATGGTTTCCATGTGTTGGATGCCATTCCATTCGGACAATTCCGGACATTATTATGAGCCGTCCTCCCCTCAGCAGCCTCCTGTGGTTGGGTTAGAGATAATTTTGTGTTAGCTATGCATATCTGTATTATATAAAACCATATTATTACACATTCCAGTAAGATATTATCCTGTTGCTCTGTCTTAGACTGATGTGTTTTGCAAGCGCTAACATGTGTGGCATCTTAATCGGTTTGCCTTCAAGACTGTTTTTGTGACTTCCTGTACTTTGCGTTCCCATCTCTTAACATCCCTTATTCTCCTGACAGAATGAGATTGGAGAAGAGCTTAAGAAGCACAAAGAGGATGTAGAAATGTTCCGGGAGACCTACGACAATGTTGTGGCCGAGGACAAAGTACGACTGGCAGTAGCACGTCTACTATCTCATGTCAGATACTATTCTACACTTGTTCTTGGGTACTATCTGACATATTGTGTATCCCTAGCTTCTTGACAGGGGATTCAGGAAGGAGTTCTTTGATGTCCCAGGCCATGTTGTTGATCAGCTGTACAAGCTATACAAGCGCAGACCCAGGTACCGCATAAAAAAGTGAAAGGAGTACAATGTCATAGTATCTTCAATACATACTGTACATACAGTTAAGTTGCCATTCAGGTTTTTAGAAGAGGGTGCAACATCCCAGTACACTCTTGCCCAGGGTCCAGAGGATGAGGACCCAGGCAGACAACAGTACCAGCCCCTTTAAAGAGCAGCCCCTGCCGGGCCCAGTGGCAGCAGAGGGTCTCTGTCAGATGATGAAGGCCATGGAGGAGCTGGACGCTCCAGAGAACATGCCTGAAAGCCTAGACCCGTCTGTGTGGGAGAGGTTCTGCCTGGCCCGCAGAGCCAAAGTTGAGAGTGAGCAGCAGGTAATGGAAAACCAGCCAGGGGACAAGTGAGGTAGTCTGAGGAAATGTTAGTGGCAGTATATGCATTTCCTCGTCATTAATGTTCTCCAACACCTTGAAACCTACAGTATATTTAATAGAATATATAAACCTACTTTACTTACTGGGTAAAGTGTTATGTAACGCAGGATACATACAGAATGTGGAACAGAGAATGAGAGATTGGATCCAGTTAATTATCCCATTTTGTGGAACATAGTAGTTCTAGTTCATTTCCCTTTCTTTGTTATTTCAAAGTCATCTTTTGTGTCGTGTCCTCTTCAGGTGAAAGTTAAGGCTTTGACTCTGGCTGAAATGCAAGCTTTTCTGCAGAAGAGGACCGATGAGGATGAGAGTGCAAGACTGGAAATGAAAAGTCTCATGGATGATATCAATGGGTAAGAGTGTCATACCGTGAGAGTACATCAATTATATTCTTAAAAGCACAGTACATTTTCCACTAAACACAGAAATGTTTCCGCCCCATTAATCTTTTGAACATTTTATACAGGTGTAGTCTCTTTTAACAGCTGTGTGTCTGAGCGCCAATAAGCTTTGCACACGAGGCTAATTCAGGAGTGATTCATTGACAGCTCATGGTCTTTAAATTCTTGATGTCCCCAGGCTACGAGAGGAGAAGATGCGTTTCTGCCTGGACATAATGGTTCAGATCCTGATCAAGCAGGGCCAGGTGGAGGTGGAGAATGGAGACTTCATTGCTGACTACTCTGACTCTCTGCTGCTCCATAAGAGTGTGGTGGAGGACCTCAACGGGACCATCAGGGTGAGACCCATAGACATTCGTTATTCATTTACCTGAGCAGAGTCCTGCTAACACTGTAGCATAAGTTTAACATTTGTAAATGGGGAAAACAAGGCAAAATGGGTCATAAGGAACTCCTCCACCGATGAGATGCATAGGTCCTAGGCTATGTATTGACCTGTGCTCCTCTGTCAGGCTCTGGGAGAGCAGAAGATAGCCAGCATGGTGGAGTGCAAGGACTTCCGTAAGGGCATCATCCAGCAGGAGTGGGAGCACAAGAGGATGAGGATGCAGAAGGAGGACCTGAACAACAAAGCCAGGGACATCCAGATGCTGCGCGTCTCTCAGGAGCTGCAGGAGGTACGCTAAGGCTTACCATGGGAGATGTCTCCCTGGAAAAATAGTTTTAATTGCAAAGGCATCCATGTGATAGAAACCTGTGGTCTGGTTAGCTCAGCTGGTTTGAGCAAAATGCTAGCAACACCAAAGTTGCAGGTACAGTACATGTATGAACCCTCTATAGGCCACAATACTTCTCATTGGCTGTAATGTAGGTTACTCTGGAAAAGTGTGTCTGCAGTGTAACAAAATGTAAAATACCTGCATTGCCTCTTCCACATGGCCAAAAACCATTGACATATCAAAAATACCCTGAACCACTACACCTGTTTTTGATATAAAATGATCAACCTGCTTTTTTGTTCTGACATTTGACAGTGAGAGCTTTGTATCCGTCGGGGGACGTAAACGTTATCTAGAATCAAATCAAAAATGTTTTTCCACACAAATTTAGAGATCATTATTTAACAAAGCTTTTTTGCCCCCCAGTATCTCAGTGAGACGGATCATGACAACCGCATGTCAAAGCAGGTTTCAACTCTGGAGAAAACAATAACATTACAGGAAAAGGTAATGTGAACAGAGTTAATATAATATCATAGATTACATATTAATTTCACTGAATTGTCAACAAATGTATTAAAGTGCTAACATATCAGCTATAATGCTTTTGTGTATTTCAAAGACTCACCAAAAGAATGTGCTGAAATGTAAGAAGTTGATCAAGCAGCTGAACAGACAGGCAGCAATGAAGGCAGCGAAGAATACTGCTCTGGATGAGCAGCTGACCAACATGCAAGTGACTGTGGCTGAGAGGAGACACATCTATGAAGCCATAGGTACTGTAAATTTCACTGCAGTAGATGTTTACATAATTTTAGGTACATCATTACTTCAGTTGTGATGTTATCAGTAGCTTTAGGTATCACTGTGTACATGTGGTGGATATTGTTCCATTGCATTGTTGTTTTTAACCCCTAACTGGCCCCTTGATGCCTCATTTCATATAACACTTCCACTGAATCATCTAATGAACTGTGATGCTATTTGCTGCTCTGCTCAGCCATGGAGGAGAACCAGGAGAGTGAGGCAGAGGAGAGGTACCAGGAGATCATCCAGAGGAAGAAGCTGGTGGATCTAGCCAGGGCCCAGGCTGACGAGGTGGCTATCCTCAGGGCAGAGGTGGAACGCATGAGGATGAAGTCCTTCCCCACTCTCGCTCAGCTAAAACACAACTGAGAAGCTTTAAGAAACACTTTTTATTTACATTCTTTGTTTAACAAAACGTCACAACACGAAAACAGATTTTAATCTTGAAATACAGAACTCAAATAAAATAAATTACTATGGTAGGTAACAGTATGAAATTAAACTGATGAAATGGCAAATGAATGTTATTTTTCCACTCTAATGACTTGTGGAGCATAGTAAGTTTAGAGTGAAAAACATCCAGTACATAAGATTATTGAATCTAGAATATTCAACGAAGGCAGGAAATCTGCATGATAAATCATCTGATGAGTTCAACGATTAATATTCTTTGTGACGACATGAACAGAAGGCATGTGGGTCTATGCATTGGTGAAGTCCTCTTCTGTGCGGTCAAAGTGAAGTATCCTGTCCTCTAGACCAAAGAGGTCGATTAGCTGGGAGATGCTGGCTTTCCTGCCATCTATGGGGAGATCTGACTGGAGCTCATACAACGCAGCCTGACTACAACTCCGCCACTTGTCAATCAAAACTCTCAACTGTGCCAGGTCATTCTAGAGAGCAGTGAGAGATGGGAAATACAATAAACATTAGTGCTTGAATATTCACAACCAACTATACCAAATGTTTTGTACTATGAGAACACCTATGTCATTTAGCATTTTCGTTGAGGAGTTACCTTGCTTCTGTACATTTTCACCATCTTCAGTCTCCGTAGAGTCTCTGTCCTTTCTTTAACCTCTCTCTTCAGTTGGTCTCCTAGTTGTAGCAAGTCTGTAGGAGTGGGTTGAGCTGATTCAGGCATGGGGCAAGGTACCCCAGCCCTTCTAGTCTCTGGACATTTACTGGGTGTGGTATCATTTCTGTTGATGTCAATATTCTTATGTCTGTCTGTTTTGGCACCATGCTCTGTCCTTTTGTCTGCTGTTGAGGGTAGTTTGTCATCTTCATCGATGTTAAGACGTTTGGCCACGGAAACAGGAGAGGTGAAGGAACGTCTTGATCTTTTTAGTCTTTCCTTCAGAGAAGAACTCATCTGCTGTTTTGGCTGAGAGAGAAAATGTGACACTTGTGAATTTTTATTTATCTTTCCTTTATTTAACTAGGCAAGTCAGTTAAGAACAAATTCTTATTTACAATGACGGCCTACACCGGCCAAACCCTACGGGACTCCCAATCACGGCCGGATGTGATACAGCCTGGAATCGAACCAGGGGGTCTGTAGTGACGCCTCAAGCACTGAAATGCAGTGCCTTAGACCACTGTGCCACTCGGGAGCCCAAGTGAATGACACTGAACACCTGCTAGAATCATGCCATAGGCCCATTATTGAATACGAAAAGCCAATTTAGAAAGACATCACACGTTAAATATGTATGTTGTTAAAGGGGTTTGACAGAAACGTTAAGAAATAGTATCTAACTAACTATATACTGTAGCTATCTTTGTATGAAGTGTATTCAGTACAATTAGAGGGGTTTGAAACAAATGAGATTAGCTACTGGCTGCTACATAGATTAGCTAGGTAGCTACTTTGCTAGCTAGATTTCACTGTAAATTACATTGCAAACATGCCTGGTTCTGGTAGACCGTCCTTACCTTTCGCACACTAACGTTACTGGATTCACATGGGCTTGATTTTAAATAGCAGGGTGTACCGTACACAGATTTTGATTTGGTTGTCTTCGGTGTGGTCTCCATTTCTTTAATTACAACAAGCTACATCCATAGAAACAACGCTTAGGTTACGAATTGGCCTCACGGAAGTTCTTCACAAGGTGAGCTTGCTAATAACCTAGCTAACGTAGCAGGCATAAAATAAACTCACTAACAACAACAAGCTCATGCAAACCTCCACGTTTTATTGGTCGTCACTAGTTACTAAAGTCATAAACCCCGAATATTCTAGAATTTATCTTCTTAAAATCGGATTTTAAAACGAATCTTAACCACACTGCTGACCTTATACATAACACTAACCTTTAATTGAAACCAAAAAGCACATGGTTGTTATCATGAATTTTTACGATATAGTGAATTTGGACTTTGTGGCTGTGGTAATTAACGGGAAACGTTTTCATTGGTTGAAAGTTAGACTACTCATTTCCTGCTGAGAAGAAAATAACTATGGGAGTTGTAGTATATCAATCCTAAAACATGACGTCTGTTATTTTCCAGATGATTTTAGTAGCCCAGGCTTTCAACATGTTGTTGCAATTATGTTCAGCTCAACAAACACATTTTAATTTCCTCCCTATTAAAGGATTTAATCATTAATCTCAAATATGGCCTCATATGGTTTGCAATTCGTGAGAGCTTTACGATGCCTTATTGTATTAATTGTGTCTTTCAATAGAGCTCGCCAGCTTGTAGTCCTAAAAACCGGAAATGAGTGAACTCTGCTTTGTTCAGCCATTCCTATGGGGAAAATAGATGGTGAAAGAATAAATGATTTACATTTACATCATTTAGCAGACGCTCTTATCCAGAGCGACTTACAGTTAGTGAGTGCATACATTATTGTTTTTATTTTTTCATACTGGCCCCCCGTGGGAATCAAACCCACAACCCTGGCGTTGCAAACGCCATGCTCTACCAACTGAGCTACATCCCTGCCGGCCATTCCCTCCCCTACCCTACCCTGGACGACGCTGGTGTATAAACACTTGGATTGCTCATGCTATGCTCATGCTATGTGTTGGCAATTGAAAGGCTTTTTCAGCCATATCGGCACTCAACAGTAGAAGCGGTCCTCCATAGGAATTCTACAGTATTTTTAAAAAAAATATTCAAAGACAAAATTACATATATTTAAGTAACATTAGTATTCTATAAAAAAAATATATATTTTAAATAAAATGTTTTTATATATTTTTTCATATTTGTTATGTTTAGCTCACATAATATAGTTTAAAGTATGCATTAAAGTGTTTGTAATAGAATACATGTGTCAAAAACTAATGTAGACATTAATAAATGCATTTCTATAGCTTCCAAAATATTTCTTACAATGGAGGATGAGTACCAAGACGGCTGCTCGGTGGCTTCAATACAGTGGCCAGTCATCCAGGGTTTATACACAGCATTGGAAGCTGGGCTTTACAGAAGAGTGGCCAGAAAAAAGCAATTGCTTAAAGAAAAAAATAAGCAAACATGTTTGGTGTTCGCCAAAAGCCATGTGGGAGACTCCCCAAACATATGGAAGAAGGTACTCTGGTCAGATGAGACTAAAATGGAGCTTTTTGGCCATCAAGGAAAACACTATGTCTGGCGCAAACCCAACACCTCTCATCACCTCGAGAACACCATCCCCACAGTGAAGCATGGTGGTGGCAGCATCATGCTGTGGGAATGTTTTTCATCGGCAGGGACTGGGAAACTGGTCAGAATTGAAGGAACGATGGATGGCGCTAAATACAGGGAAATTCTTGAGGGAAACCTGTTTCAGTCTTCCAGAGATTTGAGACTAGGACAGAGGTTCACCTTCCAGCAGGACAATGACCCTAAGCATACTGCTAAAGCAACACTCAAGTAGTTTAAGGGGAAACCTCAATCCAATTGAGAATCTGTGGTATGACTTAAAGATTGCTGTACACCAGCGGAACCCATCCAATTTGAAGGAGCTGGAGCAGTTTTGCCTTGAATAATGGGCAAAAATCCCAGTGGCTAGATGTGCCAAGCTTATAGAGACATACCCCAAGAGACTTGCAGGTGGCTCTACAAAGTATTTACTTTAGGGGGGTGGGAGGGGGGGGGGGGGGGGGGGAATAGTTATGCACGCTCAAGTTTTCAGTTTTTTTTTTGTAAGGCAACAAAATAGGAAAAATGGCAAGGGGGGTGAATACTTCCGCAAGCAACTGTACTTTTTATTGTATGAAATAATATCAGTCTGGTAGCATGACCTTTATGAATTATGAAGCCTTTATGTGCTTTATGTGCTTTTTCTGATTACATAAATGCTTCAAAATTCATAGAAAGTGACGTTATCTGATGAAATTATTCTCAAAGAACAAAATATATAAGATCTCCTAAGCCTGTGTTTACCACAGACCTTAGTCAATTAATTTCCCCATAGGCTTTGTCCAACAAATCATGGCGGAGTTAGTGCCTACAAAAAGACACATTACTACTGCTCTCTATAGCTTTGGGGAGAAAGGTGTGGATTGAAATTATATCCTGTCTTGACTTGAACATCAGCAGTTGGCTGTCTAATATTACACACCTTAGGGGAGGGAATTTTTTGATTCTCCTAGAGATGAAGGTCGATGATGGTTACTCTGTCTGAATGAGTAAGGAGACAGACATTTTTTTCTTCAGGAATTAAACCGTTGGAAGTTGTTGACAAAAAGAGCATGACTCATTTTTATGGACTATTGAGAGACATTCAGAGACCATCAGGCAATCCAAAGTGGGACTAGATAAAATAACATGTTTCTACAGTATATGGGCCATCCACCAATTCGGTGCATTTTGAGAAGGGTTACTTGATAATTTATTTTGATTTTTTATACTTAGATTTCACCTCATTTAAACATTCTGTCATAAAGAGCACATGTTCAACTTCATTAAAAACAAATTTTCCCATCTCAAGAGGTTAAATTAAAAAAAGGACTATAGTAGTAAGTGTCAAATAAAGTAACAGGGTTGATGATTTCATTACATTTACATTTTATCCAGAGCAACTTACAGTTAGTGCATACATTACATTTTTATATATATATATATAAAAAAAATTTAAACCCCCGTGGGAAACGAACCCACAACCCTGGCGTTGCAAACGCCATGCTCTACGAACTGAACTACATCCCCTGCCGGCCATTCCCTCCCCTACCCTAGACGACGCTGGGCCAATTGTGCGCCGCCCCATGGGTCTCCCGGTCACGGCCGGCTACGACAGAGCCTGGATTTGAACCAGGATCTCTAATGGCACAGCTAGCACTGCGATGCAGTGCCTTAGACCACTGCGCCACTCGGGAGCCATCTTAAATCAGCCATAAATCCTCATGACAGGGGGAATGGAAGCTTGTTGCGTCCAACAGGGAGGGGAAATTGAATGCAAGCTTAAAAAACAAATACAAATTGATAAAACACCAGAAAATTGCCAAAAATAGTATAACCAGCTCACCTGCTTTTACACTATGATTTGACTATTAGGTGTTCAATGTTTCTTTACATTTTTTTTTTTTAAGGAATAGTTTCACCATAATTAAAACGAGAGTTCAGTTCATGTAACAGGGTTGAGCTTAACATGAGGGACAGACGTAAATGAATCACTAATCACATGAAATGACATTGTCAAAGCAACAAAATAACTAGGGCTGTACAATGATGGTGAACATTTGGAGAAATGTTGGGGTTAAGTGGGTTAAAATCTTCCTAGAAGTGACAGAGGGTGTACAGAGGGACATTTCAAAATGTAAAATGTTGTCACTTTAGCAAGTCTTTATTCATATTGGAAATCAGATGTATTGAATTATCCATGTGGTCTATATTAAAGGGCACTTCAGTTAATATATCATGCTTTTAAAATTCAATATTGGTGCATAGTTGTTTATTAAAATATCAAAGGGACACAAAGGAACTCATTTTCATGAAACGACCTATATGCATACTATTGTTATTAGTCAAGGAATTGCAGACATGGGTTCATAAATAGGACCTATGCTTTCAGACCCTTTCCAAGAGAGATTGATAGATAAAAAAACACAATAATTTAAGAAAACAAATGGCAAATTTCCTTACATAATTAATGCATGTAAATAGGGTGTGTAGGACTACCAGCAGCTCTGGTGGGATGTGTTTGTTGCTATGGGCTGTGATGTTAAACCAATCTACCCGGCCTTTTTGCTGCCAGGTAACCAGCGTACCATCCCAGATGTTTTCGGGTGTATCTGAGGTACAGTGGCGGTATCCTGGCAACACCTACATAATCATAAGATTTAACTGAGTGGTGAATCATCAATCTATTCATGGTTTAAGGGCATTAAAAGTCCCTCTCTATTGACAAAATGTAATTAACATTAGCTGGCGCACACAAATACAGTGGTATGAAAAAGTATTTTCCCCCTTTCTAATTTTCTCTACTTTTGCATATTTGTGATACTGAATGTTATCAGATCTTCAACCAAACCCTAATATTAGCTAAAGGGAACATAAGTGGACAAATACACAAAAATTACATATTTATTTCATAAACAAAGTTATGCAACACCCAATTCCCCTGTGTGAAAAAGTAATTGCCCCCTTACACTCAATAACTGGTTGTGCCACCTTTAGCTGCAATGACTCCAACCAAATGCTTCCTGTAGTTGTTGATCAGACTCTCACGTCGCTGTGGAGGAATTTTGGCCCACTCTTCCATGCAGAACTGCTTTAACTCAGTGACGTGTGGGTTTTCAAGCAAAAGTTATAGCTTTGAATCATCTGTCCATAGAACGTTTTTCCAAGAGTCTTGATGATCATCCAGGTGCTTTTTGTCAAACTTGAGTCAACTTTTTGGACGAGATGGGTCCCATTATGCCTGGCGAAAACTAAACACTGCATTCCAGAGTAAGAACATCATACCAAAGGTCAAGCATGGTGGTGGTGGTGTGATGGTTTGAGGATGCTTTGCTGCCTCAGGACCTGGACGACTTGCTTAATAGAAGGAACCATGAATTCTGCTCTGTATCAGAGAATTCTACAGGAGAACGTCAGACCAT